TCATTACTATTACACACATTCTTTTTCAACGCTCATAGAATCCCCTTACCTCTGCCTCAGTTCCCGGGCGGCTCTCTCCCTCCTCCCTGGCCCTAAGAAGTCGCTTTCAAGCCTGAGCAACATATAAGCTGATCAAATTACCGGGGACCCGCCACCACCACCCCACCCACCCACACAACAACCACCTCACCGCACACACATACAACCCCAAGGCTCTGGTGCTAGGCGGGGAGGAAAGGGAGAGAGGGGAGAGTTGGAGAAGAATGGGGGGAGGAGGAAAAGAGAGGAGTGTGAGAAGGAAAGCTAGGATGGGGGGGGGGGGGGTTGTGGAAGAGTGAGGGGAAGGATGGGAGAGAAGAAAAAGAGGAGTGAAATAGAGGACTGGGAAAGAGGAGAGAGAGAGAGAAGCTGGAGGAGCAGGATATCTAAGACGTGGTGGGTAGGAGGGAGGCGAAAGAGGGATAGAGAGTGAACGCGCTCTCGCTCTCTCTCGTTTTTCGTCCTGATCAAAGGAAATGGAAAAGCTCACACTCAAACTGCCCACTCCAAAAACAGGAAAATAAAACATATAAGAATAGATACAGCAGAAATGCCAATAACAAACTGATTACGCTCACAGAATACAAAACTACTGCCAATACCCCGAAGTTTACCATGACATGTTATTCTGTGACGAATCGCACTGGCAGTAAGTCCTTTAAAATGTTCCCGTTCACCGCCAAAACCGACGGCCAACCCACCCTTAAATGTTCATATCAATATACCCGGAATTTATTGTTTGATCCTGCTAATCTTGCAACCAGGGGCCGGATTCACTGACGCACTTACGATAGTAACATCACTGGTAACTATAGTTATCATGGTAAACAGACATCGGTGGTATCCACTACCAACCTGCCATCGCAGTTACTATAGTAAATTTTAACCGGTCGGAGCACTGGTGAATCCACTGGTAAGTTCTGGGAAGAAGATGTCATCACGTGTTATCTCGTCCAAAAAATAATATTCAAGCAAAGTTTTTGGTTTGTTTTTATACTTACTATAATTTGTATGATGGCAAACACGTATCACAATATAGATATGGCGATGGTAAATGACCGCTGGTAAATACGTTACGATAGTATGTTAGTAAATCCGGCCCCAGGAAATCAACCAACAAATCCACTTTGGTTTTATATGCCAACCAATCCAATGCCACCCACGCAACCGCCATTCAAACAAAGACAAGACCGCCTACTCACCTGCCAGCCAAGCCAAGAACGCCCACCCACCCATCCGTCAGCCATGCCAACACAAGTCCATCCATCTGCCAGGCAACACAAGGTCAACCTGCCAGCCAAGCCAAGCGAACCGTTAGCCAAGCCAACACCAGCCCACCCGCCAGCCAACGCAAGGTCAACGCCAGCCAATCCCAGCTACCAAACCCACCCACCCACCCACCTGCCAGCCAAACCAAGTCAAGACAACTCTCCATCCAACCAAACCAAGCCAAGTCAGGCCCAACCTCCCAAGCCACGCCACCAACTCACCAATCTGCCAGCCAAGGCAAGCCAAAAGCCGCCCCGTCCCCCTGCCTCCCCCCTACCAGCGCGTGTAATTGGCGCAGGGCCTCGAGGCTGATCGAGTCCCATTGAAATTCCTCGGCAAGATGTCCGGTGAAGCAGAATCAGAGTGAGGTGGTGCAAAAAAGAAAGAAAAAAGAAAACCAAAGAAACGAAAGCTAGAAAAGATGAAAAGGAAAATGAGAGTGAGAAGACCCTACCAATCTCTAATCCATGACACAATATCGTGCTTTGGTAGCGTCCTTAGCCCTCCCCTCCTCTCCCATCCCTCCTCTCACCACCCCATGCCCGCAGGCATCCGAAGGAGGTAACATTGAATAAAATTCCAAGGACAGGGAGGGACATGGAGAGACAGAATGAGAGAGAGAGAAGAGAGAAATAAGAGAAAGAGGAGAGAGAGAGAGAAATAAGAGAAAGAGGGAGAGAGAGAGAGAGAGGGAGGGAGGGGAGGGAGGGGGGGAGGGGAGGGGGGGGGAGGGAGAGGGAGAGGGAGAGGGAGAGGAGAGGGGAGAGGAGAGATAGGGAGAGGGAGAAGAGGAGGGGAGAGAGAGAGAGAGAGAGAGAGGAGAGAGAGAGAGGGAGAGAGAAGAAGAAGAGAGAGAGAGAGGAAAGGGAAGAGAGAGAGAGAGAGAGAGAGAGAGAGAGGATGAGAAGAGAGAGAGAGAGAGAGATAGAGAGAAAATAAGAGAGACAGAGAGGGCGGGGGGGGGAGATGGAGAGGGAGGGAGGGAGGGAGGGAGGAGGAGGGAGAGGGAGGGAGAGGAGGGAGAGAGGAGAGAGAGAGAGAGAGAGAGAGAGAGAGAGAGAGAGAGAGGAGAGAGAGAGAGAGAGAGAGAGAGAGAATAAAGGAGGGAGAGGGAAGAGGGAGAGGGAGAGGAAGAGAGACAGAGAGAGAGAGATTGAGGGCGGGGGGGGATATGAATGAGAGAGAGAGAATTAGTCGACGAAGGAGAGAGGGGAGAGGAAAGGGACGAGGGAGAGGGAAGAAATAAAGGGGAAGGAAGGAGGTGAGCAGAGAGAGTGATAAGTCCTGTTCCAAAGATAAAAAATTGATAAGACAAGTTCCAGTCCCGTTACACGAATTTACAAAGCGAGGGCTATTAGTACCTCCGTCCTTGCAGAGGAAATAACTCGATTGAACCTTTCATATATCTCCTAATCCCCTCCATTAGTACCTTAGTTTGATTAAAAGAAAGATAATGTTATGGCAACTTCAAAAGCCACATTTCAGGTTTAAAATGGAACATGAGAAAAAAATCTCAAGTAGGGAAATAAATCTTTGCCGATCTTTTTCCTTTCCCCTCAACCCCCACCCTCTCTCTCTACACACACACACACACACACACACACACACACACACACACACACACACACACACACAAAAGACCAATCCATATACTGACTTTCTGGTCTAACATGAACTGCCGTACTAAGATATGTAAAGCTCTCTGTGACTTTAACTTCCTCTCCACAAGCATGTACAGGTTCCGCTGACAGGCCCCCTAAAATCCTGGATCTTGGTTTTGGTCCAAGAGACTACTAGGTTCAAGGGCTTAGCCTCTTTGCTAAATGCTTCAAGAGCCGTTACCAGATCCAGTGACTCAGATAGGATAGCGACATGGCCAAAGTCAAGGTCTGTGACCTTGATGTTGCCCAGTGCTGATCCACAATGACTTTCGATAGTAACTGTGCCCATTATTCTGTCCAAGGAAGTAACTAACAGGGAAGAAGCTCAACAGGCTCCCCATCACACTTTACAGCAGTTTCAATAACAGTATATAGGTATATAGGCTATCAATATAGGCTATCAATCCAATCATCTGTGAGAGACGGGGTTTTTAAAGTGGACCTGAAGGGTAGCCACAATCATGCTATGGTCTGTACCAAAGAACTCGGCACCTCAGTAAACCCTGAAGTTCTAAAGGATCCTCAGTGGAATGCTAACCAAAAAAATGTCGGTTGAAATTTCACTTGAACCGCTGTACTTATGTATCCGCTGTTTATATGTGGTGTTTTGTTAAAGTTGTGTTATATTATATTATATAT